CAAATGATTGCTACTCGCTGGGTCTCATACTCATGATAGTCACAAATTTCAAAATTTTAACCTTTATTTTCTAATGATGGTTGAAAAAAAAATAAACAAAGAGCTTCCTATAAACAACTCTTCCTAACCTACTCTCTTCTATTGTGATGAGAACATCCATAAATGGTAAGGATTTATTCTCTTCCATTTCCATCGTGAACTTAATGTTCCTTTCACACTGTTTGAGTGAAAGTAGGAAACTATCTAAACTTTCCTTAGCATGAGGAAAAATAGTCATCGATGTATGTAACCAACAATTTGGGGGTTAGTATTGCCTCTTGTAGGAAGCGTTCCTCCAATCTCGCCATATAATTGTTCGCCAAGCTGGAAGCCAGGCAAGATCCCATCGCTAGTCCTTGTATGTGTTCGTATCACTTATCATCGAAGGTAAAATATGTGCTACTCATGGATAGGTTGATAAGTCTTATTATGGACACTACACTCAGACTTATTCCTTGTGTTATCTCTGAAGGCTCCTCCAGAGTTTGTATCAGAGGTTGAATGGCTCCTTGAACAGGAATTTATGTGTAAATAGATACAACATCAAAACTTACTAGGCTATCCTCCTCTGAAAGTATCTGCTGGTCAATCAATTTTACAAAATGATAAGAATTTTAATTGAATATTACTAAAAATTGGCAGTTTTTCCTAGTTATGCCTCTCCTATTATTTACATTTAATTCTAGAGGGACACCCTCCTTGTAAACCTTAGGGAGGCCGTAAGCCGTGGGGGCCCTTGCCTCTTTCTAGAGTAGTGAATTCATTTTCCACTTCTTCATTTCACCATTACTTACGCATACCTTAAGGGCATCCTTTAGCCCAGGCTTAAGTCTTTCCGTTGGATCTCTCAGTAAAGACATATACGTGACATTGTCATTTAAATGAACTAGCATTTTTCTACATAACTTGAATTAGCCATGACTACCACTGCTTCACCTTTGTCGGCTTTCATTACGATCAGATTACTATCATAGAGATATCTGGAAACCCTACTAAGATGACAATTTTTCTTTGGCGGTATTATATGGTAAAAATGAGGTAG